CTAAGGTGCAAACAAGTCTGGTCGAAAGGGACCAAGCGCAGCCTCTCCAAGTGGAAGCAAAGCAAGGAGAGGAAGACAGGCTTCAAACTGAACCTGTACACCCCACCAGAGACGCCCATGGAGCCCGACGACCAGGTGACCGTGGAGGAGCAGAAGGGGGTCTCGGAAGACAAGGGCAGCCCTGTGGGGACAGAGCGGGAGGTGACGGAGACCATGGAAACCCTGCTCCCGCAGGACGGGAAGAGAAGGGAGGAGACAGGCGCACCTGTGAGCCCCTGTAAGTCACCAGGTAAAAAGGTAGATGAGGAGGACCCCATCAAAGGTGAGGAGGAGGAGGAAGAGGAGGAAGAGCGGGAGGAGGAGGAAGGAACTGCGGAAAAAGACCAAGATGGTCCTCAAAGTAAAGACAAAGAGGAACCAGAAATCTCCACGGAGAAGGAGGGCCCGGTGCATCTGGATGATCACGAGGAGGAGGAGGAAGAGGAGGAGGAGCCATCCCACAATGAGGACCATGACGCAGATGACGAGGACGACAGCCACATGGAGTCCGCCGACGTGGAGAGGGGTGACCTCCCCAAAGAAGCCTTCAAGGATACGCTAGAGAGCCAGGAAGCTTTTTTAGATCTTAGTGTTCAGCCGAGTCACTCCAGCCCTGAGGTCCTGATGGACTGCGGCGTTGACCTTGCAGTTGCGTGTGACAGTGAGCCGAAGGAGCTTGCCGGGGACACTGGAACTGCACCCGAGTCTGATGAGGAGCCCTCAGAAGAGCAGACACAGAAGCAGGACCAGAAGGACAGTGATGGCGTCGATGCTGAGCTCAAAGAGGCAGGCACAGCCCCTGTGGAGATCGACTCGGAGACCGCCCAGGCTGTCCAGTCTTTGACCCAAGAAAACAGGGAACATGATGACACCTTTCAGGATTGTGCCGAGACACAAGAGGCCTGTAGAAGCCTGCAGAACTATACACATACAGACCAAAGTCCTCAAATTGCCACCACGCTGGACGAATGCCAACAGTCAGACCACAGCCCGGTCTCGTCCGTCCATTCCCATCCTGGCCAGTCAGTCCGTTCTGTCAACAGCCCCAACGTCCCCGCCCTGGAGAACAGCTATGCCCAAATCAGTCCCGATCAGACTGCTATCACAGTGCCACCTCTGCAGAGCATGGAGACCAGTCCGATGATGGACGTCCCGTCAGTCTCCGATCACTCACAGCAAGTCGTTGACAGTGGCTTCAGTGACCTGGGCAGTATCGAGAGCACAACCGAGAACTATGAGAACCCGAGCAGCTACGACTCCACCATGGGAGGCAGCATCTGCGGGAACAGCTCTTCTCAGAGCAGCTGCTCCTACAGCAGCCTCACCTCTAGCAATCTGACACAGAGCAGCTGTGCCGTCACCCAGCAGATGTCCAACATCAGCGGGAGCTGCAGCATGCTGCAGCAGACCAGCATCAGCTCCCCTCCGACCTGCAGCGTCAAGTCCCCCCAGGGCTGTGTGGTGGAGAGGCCTCCCAGCAGCAGCCAGCAGCTAGCGCAGTGCAGCATGGCCGCCAACTTCACCCCACCCATGCAGCTGGCTGACATCCCTGAGACCAGCAATGCCAACCTTGGCTTATATGAGCGAATGGGTCAGAGTGACTTTGGGGCTGGGCACTACCCACAGCCATCTGCCACCTTCAGCCTTGCCAAACTGCAGCAGTTAACTAACACACTTATTGACCATTCATTGCCTTATAGCCACTCCGCTGCTGTGACCTCCTATGCAAACAGTGCCTCTTTGTCCACACCACTGAGTAACACAGGGCTTGTTCAGCTTTCTCAGTCTCCACACTCCGTCCCTGGGGGATCCCAAGCACAAGCGACCATGACCCCGCCCCCTAACCTGACTCCTCCTCCCATGAATCTGCCGCCACCTCTCTTGCAGCGGAACATGGCTGCTTCGAACATTGGCATCTCCCACAGCCAAAGACTGCAGACTCAGATTGCCAGCAAGGGCCACGTCTCCATGAGAACCAAGTCGGCATCTCTGTCACCAGCCGCTGCCCCCCATCAGTCACAGATCTATGGGCGTTCCCAGACTGTAGCCATGCAGGGTCCGGCACGGACTTTGACGATGCAGAGGGGCATGAACATGAGTGTGAACTTGATGCCAGCGCCAGCCTACAATGTCAACTCCGTGAACATGAACATGAACACTCTCAACGCCATGAACGGGTACAGCATGTCCCAGCCGATGATGAACAGCGGCTATCACAGCAACCATGGCTACATGAATCAAACGCCCCAGTACCCTATGCAGATGCAGATGGGCATGATGGGAACCCAGGCATACGCCCAGCAGCCAATGCAGACCCCACCCCACAGTAACATGATGTACACGGCCCCCGGACACCACGGCTACATGAACACGGGCATGTCCAAACAGTCTCTCAATGGGTCCTACATGAGAAGGTAGGCAGCCCGGCAGCCCACCGATCCCACTGGGCGGCTGCACTGTTGGACTGATCTGCACAAATACCTTTGAAGAGTACGATTTCAAAACCAGCATTGGTGTGAATGCAAAAACATTGCTGGCACCATTTATTTAAAAAAAGAAAAAAAAAAGCTGTATGCAGCAGAAAGCCTTATACAAGTTGTTTTTCTTTTTTCCTTTTTCCTTTTTTGGTACCTTGGTTTCTGTTACTTTTATATAAAATTCTCTGCAAAGGAAGGCCTCCCTTAGGACTACAGCTCGGCGGCAGGCACTCTTCTTTGTGCCTGCCTCCCTTAAACAGTGTGGATACAAGCCCCGCCCCAATCACCTGTTTTAATATTGAACCTGGAGCTTTTTCCTTCCTTGTCCACTCCATGTAAATGCCTTTAGCGTTTCAATTCCTGTATATTTTGTTTAAGGTAACACTTCAGCATGCCGCTAATGTCTTTGTTAGTGACAGTGCATTTTGTAGTACTGTACAAGTGTTGTGCTAACAGTAAGCCATTTCTTAAGTTTTTTGCCTTGATTAGGGTACCCTAATTTGAGGGTTTAAAAAAAAAAAACAACTCTATTTTTGTTAATTATAAAACTGTAAAGAGCTATCAGAGCTACCCCATCTGGTTAGTCAAGGGGGTTTATTGCTAAATGTTGGCTGTAAAGTTGAGACCCTTTTCCATTTTGGTGGCAGGTTCCTTTGGGGAAAGGCAGCTTTCTGTTTTATAAATGCACACTTCTGTTTATTGAATGAAGCATATCTCAGTGTTTATCTGTCAGGTTTTGAAGCATTTCATATATGTCCAAATACTTGGCAGGATTTAAAAAAAAAATAGTGAATTTGGTGTAAAGTTGCTATTTTATGGAAATGCCTCTAACTTTACATTTTCATTCCATCTGTAGATTTTTCTATCTTTATAAAATATTGGAGTTATTTTTTAAGGAAAAATAGAAAAGTAGCTTGTGAATAGCTCAAACTAAGCTTACAAATCGCATGTAAAAAAGCAGAAAAGTTATTTGTGTCTGTTTCTATTGCTTCCTTTTGTAGCCTTTGTACCTATCCAGGTGACAGTGAGGGCCAAGCAGAGGTGTAACCTTGTATAAAATAGGAGCCAGCAACACTCACGTATTTATCTGTTCTCTTTTTAGTCAGTTACTTCAAAAAAAGAAAGAAAAAACAAAAAAAGCTGTACATTTTAACATAAAATAAATTATGATGAGCCATTTTTAGCCTCTTGTGTCCTGTCATATTATGATTGAAGGAGAATGGCCAGCTGAACTGTTATCCTGTGTCACATCTCGGAACACATACACATTGGGGGAATAAATTATTTAGTGTAAATTGGAGTTAGGGGATTTTTCTGATTTGTTTTGACTTTGGGGGAGGGGTTGGCAATAAATAAGAGTAATATCTAATAAAACCATCACATATACCAAATACCTATTTAATAAATTAATTTATAATGGATTTTAATGCTTTTCATGAAAGTTTACTTTATGCTAGTGCATACCTTCTGTATGCCAATTATTGTCTTTAAAATAAAGTGAGTTTGTTTTTTTCTTTTGACTTTGATCTTCATTTGCCCAAAGCTCCCACAAGGATGTCCAGTTGCCTCGTGTGTACCATCTGCAGGAACCCCTGAGGGCTGGTACCACACTAGCAAGCTTCCTTTTTTAAAAGATTGCTATCACAAACACCCAGTTGGGGGTGGTATATTTCAAAGTTCATTTCTTTTAAAAAAAAAGTGTGAAAGTTTCACTCACTTGTGAATGGCTGGATGTTCCCTTTAGTGTTTATAGTTTAACACACACACACAAACCCAAAAGTGAATGTTTATACACATTTCGTGGCATTCAGAGAAAGTTTTGACTGTGAGTTAAAATATTTGATTGCTTGGCACCTCTGTGTGACTGGCCCAGGGAGTTTTCAAGGCATCATCTGTGCCCAGGAGCTCACAACTCTGCACGTCACTGACACAGACTCTAACTTGGGCTCCACCGGGTGGGACAGTCCATTCATGCCAGAACAAAAGGCCACCCCATAGAGGAAGCCCGCTGGGGTCTGGCTTCCTGTTCTCACCATCGCCTGCTTCTAGGGTGTATTCTGGGGTGGGCACCCACACTTGACCTTCGAGTCTTCAGCTCCTGCCGAGCCAGTGGAGAGGTAATAGCTGAAGTGGCTGGGGAAGGCGTGAGTGCGTGTAAGAAGACCCTCCTGCACGGGCTGGTAAAGAAAGCGGGGTGCAGAATATAATTCGTGGGGCAAGAAAGCATGCTCTCTTTTGAGAAGCAGGTGGTTGTGTGTGGTTTGTCTGAACCAGTCGAGAGAGCTGGTTAGGAGTGGCTGAGGGTCCGGCAGGGCGGTGGACCACACATCTGGCAGGAAGCTGTTGTCCCTGTCTAGGAACCCCACAGAGACATTCTCCAAGCCCCTCTTTGAAACATTTATGTGCTAATTTAGTGCCTTCTTTTGTTAAGAGTCATGGGGCCCAGACACCCCCTTTCCCTTTGAGTATAGCCTGTTAACATACCTTTGGGTTGTAGGAAGTCTGGGTCCCATTGCTCCACTTCTTGCTCTCGCTTCATAGTCCAAAGCAGCTTTATGGATCAGTTCCTAATCACTGTTCCACACCCCCGCCTCGGAACAGCAGAGTCCAAATCTCCCCTAAGGAAACAGGCTGTGTTGGGAAAGGACTGTCCAGCTGAGTTGGCTGGAGTGCCCCGGGGCCTCACTGGAAAAGCCACCCCGCAAATCCTGGGATATGGCTTAGATCCATCACAACAATACAGCTGCGCTCAGGTTGGTATCCGCTCGTTGCCCACATCTTTAAGACCAACAGCGTTTGCTTTCTAAGAGTGGTCATCTGATGCCAACTTCACTGAAGTAGCTCAGGTCTACAGGCCCTGCTTGCCAACGTTAGAAATGATGACTCAGCATGTCAACAGTCCTCCTACATAACCCACACCCATTGGTCAGGAGGTAGAGAAAACAAAAAGTTAATTGCCCCCAACTCAGCCGGAAATTTTAAGCTGCAATATACCCAGATGGCTGAATCAGCTCTTGGAAACACTAGTCTGAAAAGGCCCAGATTTGTCACCTCTGATGTGAAGGCCCAGTGAATGATCGATCACCTGACGATGTGGGCTCTGTAGATGCAAGCCTTGCCCAGCCATTAGCGTCGGGGACCTGCCATGGAGCAGGCTCCTGCTGCCGCTTTCTGGGATGGTTTTCCTGCATCTTCCTCCTCCACCCAGAACTGTTCTGCAAGCCCTGGGCTCGGGGGCATCTTTTCTTGCTCTTTATCTCATCCAGTGTGATGACAGAAGACTCCCAGAATTGTATTTCCCTGCAGTCATCAGTGTTCCAAATCAAAATTCTAGAATCTCCTACCCCTTTTGGAAGGTGCCCTCCAAGGATAAGTTCCTCTTGTGTCCTGGGTGAGATTCCCCCTCCTGCTGGGAGAGAGGACCGTTGGGTTCTTTTTGGAATCTTTCTTTCTCTCTCTCTCTCTCTTTTTCTTTCTTTCTTTCTTTCTTTCTTTCTTTCTTTCTTTCTTTCTTTCTTTCTTTCTCTCTCTTTCTTTCTCTCTCTGTCTCTCTCTCCTCTCTCCCTTCCTTCCATCCTTCCTTCCTTCCTTCCTTCCTTCCTTTCTTTCTTTCTTTCTTTCTTTC